GGGTAGCGTGCTAGGAATGGTAGTTCAGAGTGCTGTTATGCCAATTTACGGCAAGATGTATGACGGTAGACTCAGCGCATTGTACGGGGAGACTCCGCAGCCATAAGCTCGAAGTGTAGAGGGTAAGCAACCTCATTAAGAATGCCATCAGCGAATTGTATAATCGCTTTAAAGTGGCGCTGTAATATAATGTCAGCTAAAAAAAAACATCGGAAACACCGTGTTGGGATGCCGCGTTCACGTCTCATGATGAGTCAATGCAGTCAACGGTTTCGCGAGGGTCGCCTGCCGTGAGCCAGTCTTGCCTGCTCAATCCTGATTGGCCACTGTCGGACAATGTCTGTCTCTCGCATTCCCTTAAAAGTACATACAACCTGCGTCTGAATGACTTGCGCTGGCTTACTTGCTCTGACGCGCTGTACCGTGATCTTTTCTGAGTAGACTCTTTGTCTGGCAGACTGGTCTGCTCACTGTCTCTCTTACGGGTTCCTTGGCGTATCGGTTCGTGCTGATTAGAAGTACCAAGGCGGGTCATAACACACCGGCAGCTGGAGGGAGCATTCGGAGAATACGTTTAAGGCTGGAAAAATTAATGAAGAGCAGTCAATAATGAGGGGCAGAATGCAGGAATATCTACATCGCCAGATTAGGGCTTGCGGTGTGCAAAATGAACGCAAGCGGCATATATAATAGAAAATATAACGAATTTTAATAAAAATGCCTGATTACTTCCACTGCCAATATTGAAACTGTGCTCGTGTATAAATCAAAATTCTATGTTGATAACAGTTCTGAAAATATACTAATTTGTCAAGTATAGTAACTTGAAGGAAGTTGAAGATCTCACAAACAACGTCCTGCACCGGACAGTTATGCAAACATCTCCGTAAGGTGACATCATTGATTGTCTTCTTTTTATCTTAGGCCCGGAACGTCGCGTGAGCGGGAAGTGAATCCCAAAGGCATCTTCGTTGGCGATCTGCCTGAAGCCACAGCGACCAGCGATCTAAATGACTACTTTTCCCAATTTGGACTTATTGCAGACGTTCAGCTACTTAAAAACAAGCGGAAGGCGGATTCCTGCCATGCTGCTATAGTGACCTTCTGTGAAGCGGATGCAGTCAGGAAGGTGTTTGCTGCTCAGCCGCACCTGTTAAATGCAAAGCAAATCACAGTCTACCCTGCAAACAAAAATAAAACTCAGTTCATAAAGTATGTTTTTTGATGGTCTGTGGCATTATGCATGACATAATTCAAAATATTAACACCTAGAATAGTTATAGAAATGCTATCTACCAAACGACAAAGCAGGTTGCACCATGCTTCCTATTAACAATATTTCAGTGCAAACTTTCTGCAGCAATTGAGCTGACAGTTTCGCGAACTACATGATGTTTCCAATAAATATTTTGTTATTGTCACTGTGTTACCCCACGCTTTTATTAGCAGAGGAAACGCTTAAATTATTGCGCAAAATGCACCGCCCTATGGGTTACGTTAAATAGTGTATACTGAATAGACTTTCTGACAGGTAGTCAGCTCCAAATTAATACGCGCCCATCTATTTTCAAGATACTTACATTTTTAGGACATGCTACCTAGGTAGAAATTCATCAGGATACACGGATAGAAACAGGAGACGTCAGGCGAAATTCTAAAATGATTTCTTTAGTAGTGGAATTTGTACACCCATCTGCTATATAAACCAGATCAAAAGCCAGCAAGACAGTGGACTAGTAGCTCAATGGTTAGGGCGTTTGCCTCTGACGGGACAAATGCAAGTTCGAAACTCGAGTGTGGCAGCAATTTCAGCGGCTACAAAAGAGTTGGGTATCGTTAGCTGCCGACGGCTAATAAGCCAGAACTAGCTGTCCTAGCGTCCTTGTTCTTCCCCGGTGATACCTCTTAGGGTGTTGTTTTATCCATAACGTCTGATTAAGTTTCCGGATATTATACATTATTAGGAGGGTAACCTCATAATGCTAAACTTTTATAAGGAAGTCACCTTTTGATCG